CAACCTGCTCCTTCAGCCCCCCACCGAACCTCACACCTTGGTCGGCTGCAGGCCCTGTGTTAATGGGGATGTGGATAAGCCCTCAGATCCAGGTATTTGTGCCTCCCATCATCATCCTGCTCTGGTCCTCCTAGCTTCTACACCAGGGAAACTCAGCTGAGGGATGCCAGTTTAGCTTTCTGACTGGTGTGGCCCATGAAAGCTTGTCACTGGAAATCTCTGGCCTGCTCACTTTTTCTTTTTCAGCTTCCAAACTATATCTTGATCTTATATCTGCTCTCAGGATTTGGGGCTTTCTTTGCCACATAACAACTTCCTCACCTGGTACCTACCGTCTCAGATCCTTCAAGTTAGAAAATGGCCCCTGCCAGGCAGGTAGATGAGAATGAGGCTTATCTGCACAATAGCTTCCCTGCAAAGGGAGGACCCACTCAGCAGTGGCAAGTGCTTGTTGAGCTCCGCCAAGCACTGTTGTTGTGACCCATAGCTGACCCCGGCGCGATTTCATACTGCACAGTTCCTTACCAGGAAGCCACCACTAGGCTGGTAATTTTAAAGATGGGGTCTTATTTAAGGAGCTCTGGAGACACAGCCTGTAGAGAGCTATGCTGCTAATAAAGACAGTGCCTCTCCAATTCGAGTCCACCAGCAGCTCCACGGGGGAAAGATGGGGAGTCTCCTCTTGTGCAGTTTACAGCCTCCAAAAACCCACTGGAGGGACAGTATGAGTTGGTTCCAATTCGAAGGCAGCAAATGAAATTGTTGAGTATTAAGTTTAAGTTTCACTGTAGTTTTGTTATGGAAATGTTATTTCTGTTGTAAATGCTGTCCTTATCTCCATGCTTTTGGACATGGCTCCGCTCTGGGTGGAACATGCTTTTCCTCCCTTGTCCCAGGTCTTTCCTTTGACTTGACTTGCCATTTAGATTTTAGCTTAAAAGTCGTTTGATCTGGCAGTTGTTCAAGGCCAGGTTAGATCTCTTTCCTGTGGGCTGCAGTCTTCTGAACTCTTTTCACACTCCTGTGAAATTGTCTGTTAATTTGTCTGTCTCGTCTGTTGTGTCTCCAGTTCCTGACACAAAGCCTGGCATGTGATTGGAGCTTAGGAAATAATGAATGAAACAAATGAGAAGCTTACCTACAAAGTAGAACAACTAAGATTGAAAGTAATTTAACTTTGGCCCCTTTATTTCTCCATTCCTTGAAGCTTGCCTTTACTTGCCTGCCCTGCTTTCCTGCACAGAGTAGACAAATAATGATTGAGTCAGTAGCTGTAGACCAGCCTCACAGATTAGTTAAGAAGGAAAGAATCATATTTAAAGGGCACAAAGTTCTTGGCGTAAAAGTTAGTGAGCATGGAAAAACTGGACAAGAATCTGAAAGTAAAGTCTTTTGTATCACAACTTGCAGAAGAGACCAGGCAGGGCTGGGCAAGCCTCCCCCACAGCCCAGGCTTGTTGCCAGGTGTCTATTACTTGTTCATTTCGGGGTTGGGTTTTTTTTCCCTTCCCCCTCTCCCCCACTTCCCTTCCCCACCACCAGTCTCTGAAGAGGGCTCTGAGTCCGAAGAAAGTGAATCCAGTGGGAACTCCTCTAGGAATGAGCGCAGCATCCAGGAGAAGCTGCAGGTGCTGATGGCTGAAGGTCTGCTCTCTGCTGTGAAAGTCTTCCT